CCCTCCATCCCTCCATCCCCCCACCCTCTCCATCCCTCCATCCCTCCATTGTTGCCGCAGCCGCGGAGCGGGATGGGGGCGGCGGCGCTGCCCGCGTCCCCCCGTCCGGGCTGTCCCCGACCCACCGGGCGAGCGGCCCGGGGGTCCCCGCGGGTGCCGGGGGTCCCGGGGGTCCGGGGGGCGCGGGGGAGCCGCGGGCTCGGGCGCTGATGTCATGTCGGGGACTGGGCATGCTCGACTGGGGCGGCCGCCCGCGCCTCCGCCGCGCCCCTGCGGCAGCGCCGGCACCGGAGCCGCATCCCGGGATCCCCATCCCCATCCCGGGATCCCCATCCCCATCCCGGGATCCCCATCCCCATCCTCGATTCCCCATCCTCATCCCCATCCCGGGATCCCCATCCCCATCCCGGGATCCCCATCCCCATCCTCGATTCCCCATCCTCATCCCCATCCCGGGATCCCCATCCTCATCCCGGGATCCCCATCCCCATCCCGGGATCCCCGTCCCCATCCCGGGATCCGCATCCTCATCCCCATCCCGGGATCCCCATCCCCATCCCGGGATCCCCATCCCGGGATCCCCATCCCCATCCCGGGATCCTCATCCTCATCCCGAGATCTTCATCCCCATCCCCATCCCGGAATCCCCATCCTCATCCCCATCCTGGGATCCCCATCCTCATCCTGGGATCCTCATCCCGGGATCCTCATCCCCATCCCGGGATCCCCATCCCCATCCCCAGATCCCCATCCCCAGATCCCCATCCCCATCCCGGGATCCCCATCCCCATCCCCAGATCCCCATCCCCAGATCCCCATCCCCATCCCGGGATCCCCAGATCCCCATCCCCATCCCGGATCCCCATCCCCACCCCGGCAGCCCCGCGGAGCGCTGAGCAGCGCTGCGGGATGCCGCCCGAGTTTTGTTTTTTTTTTTTTTTTTTAAATTTCCGCGTTTAAAACGATGAAATGGACCCAAATCGCCTCCACCCCCCATCCCCGCCCGGCCCTGCGCGCCCCCCGCGCTCTGCTGGGGCTCGGCTGCTCCAGGGCTTTCATGGGAACAAAGGCTCGGGATGCGGCTCCTTCCCAGCCCAGCAGCTTCCCTCTCCCTTTCCCCCTTCCCTCTCTCCCTCTCCTTTTCCCTCTCCCTTTCCCTCTCCCATTTCCCTCTCCCTCTCCTTTTCCCTCTCCCTCTCATTTTCCCTCTCCCTCTCCTTTTCTCTCTCCCTCTCCTTTTCTCTCTCCCTTTCCCTCTCCTTTTCCCTCTCCCTCTCATTTTCCCTCTCCCTCTCCTTTTCCCTCTCCCTCTCCTTTTCTCTCTCCCTTTCCCTCTCCCATTTCCCTCTCCCTCTCCTTTCCCCTCTCCCTCTCATTTTCCCTCTCCCTCTCCTTTTCCCTCTCCCATTTCCCTCTCCCTTTCCCTCTCCCTCTCATTTTCCCTCTCCTTCTCCTTTTCCCTCTCCCATTTCCCTCTCCCTTTCCCTCTCCCATTTCCCTCTCCCTTTCCCCTTTCCCTCTCCCATTTCCCTCTCCCTCTCCCCTTTCCCTCTCCCATTTCCCTCTCCCTTTCCCCTTTCCCTCTCCCATTTCCCTCTCCCATTTCCCTCTCCCTTTCCCCTTTCCCTCTCCCATTTCCCTCTCCCTTTCCCTCTCCCATTTCCCTCTCCCTTTCCCCTTGCCCTCTCCATTTTCCCATTCCCTCTCCTTTCCCTCTCCTGGAGCAGGTCCCTCAGAGGGCAGCGCTCAGAACCCCCAGTGCCACTTTGGGTGGGAGTTCACGGTCAGATTTTTGGTTTAGCCTGGTCTGTGGTGCTTTATTTCATATATATTTATTATATATATTATATGATATATAAATATTTCATATGCTGGTCATCTGTGACATCTATTTCATATGCTGGTCATCAATAACATGTTCTCTGCTGTATGGTGATGAAAAGACCCTACAATTAATTGCCAGCACAGCTC